CGCCAGCCTGGTCCCACAGCGGTGTCAGCCCCAAATAACACACAGAGACGCTGGATTAGATATAAAGGTGTTGGCCTGTTACTAGTGTTTTTTTATTGGCTAGCTGCATCTTAAGTATTACCTCATTTCTATTAATCTAAGTATTTCCATGTGGTCTTATCAGAGAGAGAGAGTGAGTCTAGACCTCTTATTCCTCTCCTGGCCTACATCTTGACTCCTCTTTACTACCTCTCCCAGAATCATCCTTGTCTCCTAGTCCCGCCTATCTTGCTTTCCTATTTGCTAACAGTGCTTTATTCATTAACCAATAAGAGAAACATATTACAGACTGACATCTCCCATCAGTTTGTAGTCCTTATCTTTGCTTTCCTATATATGAGTAAGAATATTGGCGGGGGACAATGGTCAGTTTGACTCACCAGTTGCCAGCTTTTAGGCCCTTCTGGTTGTCATGCTTGGCTGAATATGGGATGTCAGTCAAATCGCCCCCTGACCAGACCTCGTGGGACCACAAGCTACTTGGACTCTCACAGATGCTTTGGAAGCTACAGTACCATGAGCTGTGGCTCTGGCACACCTGTTTAAAAAACCCTGCCCCCCACACTTCCTCTGCAACATTTCCACATAGGCGGGGCTTATATTCCAGGGAGGCCCAGCAGAGGATTGTTGTGACTGATGCCACAGGGGCAGAGCTGTGACTCACTCTCCCGTGCTATGAAGGTCCTCTGTGGCTGGTACATGCATCACTTTCTGACTGTGTAAGCCATCTCTTTGGTTCAGGTGCTAAGGTGCTGGGAAACAGCCCCTACACTGTCTCCTCTGCTGCTGACCCTCCCCTGCTCCCCCCCGGCCTCCCCTACCCTCCCCTGCTCCCCCTGGCCTCCCCTCCCCTCCCCTGCTCCCCCTACCCTCCCCTGCTCCCCCTGGCCTCCCCTCCCCTCCCCTGCTCCCCCGGCCTCCCCTACCCTCCCCTGCTCCCCCTCCCCTCCCCTGCTCCCCCTGGCCTCCCCTCCCCTCCCCTGTTCCCCCGTGGCCTCCCCTCCCCTCCCCTGCTCCCCCCTGGCCTCCCCTCCCCTCCCCTGCTCCCCCCTGGCCTCCCCTCCCCTCCCCTGCTCCCCCCTGGCCTCCCCTCCCCTCCCCTGCTCCCCCCTGGCCTCCCCCTCCCCTCCCCTGCTCCCCCCTGGCCTCCCCTCCCCTCCCCTGCTCCCCCCTGGCCTCCCCTCCCCTCCCCTGCTCCCCCCTGGCCTCCCCTCCCCTCCCCTGCTCCCCCCTGGCCTCCCCTCCCCTCCCCTGCTCCCCCATGCTCCCCCCTCCCCTCCCCTCCCCTCCCCTGCTCCCCCCTGGCCTCCCCCTCCCCTCCCCTGCTCCCCCTGGCCTCCCCTCCCCTCCCCTGCTCCCCCTGGCCTCCCCCTAGCCTACCCCTCCCCTGCTCCCCCCTACCCTCCCCTGCTCCCCTCTGCTCCCCCCCTCCCCTCCCCTCCCCTGCTCCCCCCTGGCCTCCCCTCCCCCTCCCCTGCTCCCCCCTGGCCTCCCCTCCCCTCCCCTGCTCTCCCATGCTCTTCTTGCTCCGCCCAGGAGAGGCCCCCTGGGAGGATCCTCTTCCTGCTTACTGTTAGTTTGGGCTGAGTTGGAGTGGTGTTCTGAAAGAAAAGGTCCCCCCATAAAGTGGCACTATATTAGGAGGTGTGGCTCTATTGAAGCAGGTGTGGCCTTGTTGGAGGAAGTGTGTCACCATGGGGACAGGCTTTGGGGTCTCTTGCTTACGTTCCACCCAGTGTCACAGTCGACTTCCTGTTCCTGTGAGACGTAGGACTCGCAGCTCCTTCTCCGGCACCATGTCTGTCTGCACGCTGCCATGTCCCACCAGGAGGATGGTGGACTCAACCTCTGAAACTGTGCAGGTGTGCTAGGAAGAATAATGTCACCGTCCTGTGGATTGCAGGGAGTCACCGCTTCCTGTGTGCTGAGTGCTGCTGGGGCCTCCCCAAGAATGGTGAATCGGGGGAGTCACCGCTTCCTGTGTGCTGAGTGCTGCTGGGGCCTCCCCAAGAATGGTGAATCAGGGCTATCTCTGTTCTCTTTCTTGGTGTTTCCCGTGGGCACCTCATCCCTGTGGGTAATGCCAAGAAGGGTCTCCTAGCAGAGTGGGTTCCTCAAGGACATGAGAAGGAGCCAGGAAGTCAGAGCAGGCTCCTGGGAGGGAGCCCCAGATCTGCTGGCACCAGAGTGGAAGCCAGGCCACAAAGTAGCTTAAGGTTTTTAGGGGGAAGGTTTCTGGGTATCCGTTGTAGGTTGCAACGTCACCCCCTGGTGTTCACTGGGAGAACTGCAGCTCATGTCCGGGCTGCAGCAGAACCTGGCTCTAACTCCTTGGTTCTCTTCACCCCAAGGGTCTGTATATAACACGGCCCAAATATATGTGTTTTATACACTTCCCTAAAGACTGTTTTAAACTGTAAGACAGCAGAAGTGATATTTTGCCAGGTGTGGTTACACGCCTTTAATCCCAGCACTCAAGAGGCAGAGGCAGGCAGACATCTATGGGTTCGAGGACAGCCTGGTACATAACAAGGCCAGTCTGGACTACATAATGAGGCCAGCCAGGGCTATCGTAACCAGCTGCAGGGACAAATGAGTGACATCAATCACAACAGAGGCCATCGCCTGCTCTAAAGCTACCGTCACCAAGCAGTAGCTCACGTCCCTGCGGCCCCCACTGACCTCCGGTCTCCTCCCATTCTCTAGAAACTGGCCTGTTTTGGGTACCTCATAAAAATCAATTCTGTGCCGGGTGTTGGTAGTGTACACCTTTAATTCCAACACTCAGAAGGCAGAGGCAGGAGGATCTCTGTGAGTTCGAGGCCAACCTGGTCTACAGAGCAAGTGCCAGGACAGGCTCCAAAACAAGACAGAGAAACCCTGTCTTGAAAAAACAAAAACCAAAAAAAAAAAAAAATTAAATTCTGCATGCACACGCATTTTATTTCTTGCTTACTGTTTTTTTTCTGGTTTACCCAATCCATAGCCCATTCAGACTTTCATGCTACAAATTACAACTTATAAGTCTTAAGGCGATGGAAGGTGCTGTCTACACAGTATGGATCTGAAAGAATCTCCTGATGGTTGAAGTTTTCACGGGCTCCTGAAGATCAGTTGCTCTGCCCATTTCTGTTAGCCAGCTCTGTACACAGCACAAAGAGTCACATTGCCTCCAGCAACTGGGAGCATCTGTCCCTATCACTCCCCACAAACGTGGTGCTCTACCTCTGCTTCAGCCATCCAGGGACTGGGGGTGTTGCTCAGTGGTTAAGAGCACTGACTGCTCTTCCAGAGGACCTGGGTTCAATTCCCAGCACTCACACGGTAGCTCACAACTGTCTGTAACTCCAGTTCCAAGAGACCTGACACCCTCACACAGACATACAAGCAGGCAAAACACCAATGCATGTAAAAATAAATCATTTAAAAAAGAAAGAAATATGATGAGAAGGAAAGGACAATAAAGAAAATATGATAAATGCATGCAATGGAATATTCAGCTTTAAGAAGTCAGGAGACAAGGTGGTGGTGGCGGCGGCGGCGGCGGCGCACGCCTTTACTCCCAGCATTCGGGAGGCAGAGGCAAGTGGATCTCTGAGTTCACAACCACCCAGGACAGCCAGGACTGTTACACAGAGAAACCCTGCCTGGAAAAGCCAAAATGGAAAGAAAAAGCCAGGACAGCGGGTATGTAACTCACATCTGTCACCCCAGCACTCAGATGGTGAAGGAAAGAGAGAATTTCAGTCCATACTGGGGTATATAAATCCTGTCTCCAAAAAAGAAAAATTAGCTAAAAAGAAAGAAGGGCTGAGGATGACTCGGTGGGCAAAGTGCTTGCCAGTATAAGAACCTAGTTCAAATCCCCAGAACCAATGTAAACCTGGACGACTTAGTGAGCATCTTAATCCCAGCGCCTGCTCGCAGAGATGGGAGGAGGAGATAGAACCTCCAGAAACTCTGCAGCCAGGTAACATAGCAGCCATTAATATGAGAGAGCCTATCTCAGGGTAGAGTGTGGCATGGACAAACCCACACTCACACACATATAACCAGAATAAAGAACAGGAAAAACACCCAGCGTGGTGGCGCACACCTTTAACCCCAGCACTCAGGAGGCCGAGGCAGGATGTCTGTGAGTTCCAGGCCAGCCTGGAGTACATGACTATACAGAGACTTTATCTCAGAGAGAGACAGAGAGAGAGAGAATTACAAAGCATGGAGCCTAGGGGATGGCTCAGAGCACTTGCTGTGCAAACATAAAGGTCTGAATTCAAACTCCCGTCACCCAAAGGAAAAGGCCAGGCTCAACTACATGTGCCTGTATCCCCAAGACTGGGGACCAGACAGCCAGGCAGGTCCTGGGAGCTTGAGGGCCAGTCTAGCCACAGTGGCATGATTCAGTGAGAGACCCACAGAGGGAGACAGCCCACACACACCTGCACACATATGTATGCATGCATATCACGTACCACACATGAAAAATGGCTGAAATGGTTTTATGTTACAGACAACCACAATAAAAGCATATGAAATTAGTATTTTATTCTGTGTATTCAAAACATCATTTCAACATGTAATCAATTTTTTAAATTACTGGGAGGTCGTTGACCTTTGCGGCATTCACGTCTCAGTCTGAACTTGCCATGTCTCAATTGCTTAATCGCCGTGACAGCTGCCACACTAGGCTGAATTGGTCTCCATTCTGTCTGCCAACACCTGCATCACTTTTGCCAAGCATACTGCAAACACTTCTGCAGACAGGCCTATGGCGTCTGTGCCCCTCCTGAACCTACAGTCAAACCTGCCCACATCACCTGGGGCCATTGCCAGGATCTCCCTTCACTCCAGCTGAGAGAGACCTCTGAAGGAGCGCCATTGATTCTCAATGTGATTGGACCTGAATCTCCTCTTGCCTTTGCATACATTTGCATCTCATTTGTGTGTCAAACTCTATTACCTCAGATGGTCATCTCAAAGTCAGGGAGGCTCAGGGCTGGATAGGAGGCCTCTGGATGCCCCTCCTCCTGCTTCCCCTGAGGCTCGCCATCCTCTTCCCCAACACAGCCCTCCTCCTCCTCTTCCAGGATGGTGGCCAGCTCCTCCCGGAAGGCCCCCATCTCCAGTCCCAGGTGACACAGCTGTCCCAACAGCTGGACGTCCACTCTGCGCAGGTTCCCCTACAGGAATAAAGGAGCATCGTGGGTATGCCACATGGAACAAGGAAGCCTGCTAGGAGCTTCATGGGAGCAGGTGCCAGCTCAAGTCCTAGCCTGCCTGGCCAGAGACCTCACTGACTTTGGGTTCTGTGTGCCATCTGCCCATCCTCCTGCTGCTTGATCTGTCTCTCTGCCGGCCACTGTCCCTTCATGGCTGTGGCCCCTTCTTTTAGTCTCTGACTCCGCATCTCCAACTCTGTTTTCTCATCCCTTGGGCACTGCCAGGGGCCATCCCACCTGAGGTCCTCCTGTCTGTCCCTGAGCTCATCTCTAATGTCTACCTTCATTTCTCCCCTGCACTGGCGCCATTCCCGAAACGCAGGCTCTGTCCCCGTGCTACCTGCCTCTGCCCTTGTTTTATTTTACTTTCACACATGACCTTAGGCTTGAAATTCTCCTGCCTCAGGCGGGATTATAGGCAGGAGCCACCAGGCCTAGCTGATCGTCGGCTGTGTCTATTCTTATTAACACTCACTCACAGTCTCCCCACCATATCTATCTCCTGACTTTCTGGTGCCTTTTCACTCACCAACTCCTCCCAGATCCACAGCAGCCTCTCCCTGGTGCCCCCAAGTTCTGTCCCTGAGGACATAAGGGTCTGGCCAGGGTTCCCCTCCGGCGGGGGCATCCTTAGGGCCTGTGGGGGTGGACCCAATCCAAGGCCCTCCAGTCCAGCCTGCCTCAGCTGCACCCACAGCTCCATAGTCTGAACAGGAAGAGCAGGAATCAGGAAGTGGCAAAGTCCTAGTGACCCAGTCCCCGGGGCGGCTGAGGGAGTGGGTGAGGGTGGGGGAGAAAGGTCGGGAGGGGCTGGCAGAGACATCCCAAAGTCCACCCTTTACTCGGAATCAGCTGACCACATTTTTTCCCTTCTTCTGGAGTCCAACCTCCATGATCCCACAAGGTCCAAAGATAGCCTCGAGCAGAGGTCCAACTTCACACTGCTGTCTCTCAGGCTGACCCGGTCAGGGAACATGGTGCTTAAGGCTCAGCACCTGAAGGAGCGAGGCTGTCTTCCTTCCTAGTCCTCATGCCTCTCCAGCCCCAACTCCTCAGCTTCTTTAGCTGATCAACCTTGGCCGGCCCCTTAAGTCGATCCTTGTCTGTCCACCGGTGTGCCTGAAGAGTCTCTGTATGCAGCCAGTTCTGCTAGCCTTAGACATGCCTGTATTGGGTCACTGCCAGAGGCTCAGGACTGGGATTGCTCCAGGTCATGCTCTGCCTTGACCCCTACAAGCCCATGAGTATGCCTGGGTCCCTGGCTTAGACCTCAGCTGCCCCCCATGAGCCCAGACTCTAACTTCAAGTCTCACATCTCAAGGTCAGTGTTCCACTTAGGATCAAACCCACCCACTGGATCCATTTCCTTTGGATATTGCGATAAATCACCACAATCTTGGTAGCTAGAACAATGCGAGGGCCACTCAGAGATGGCTCAGAGGGCAAAGGAGCTCATCACCAAACCTGATGATCTGAGTTCAATCCCCAGGCCCCACATGATGGAAGGAGAGAGCTGACTTGCAAGTTGTCCTCTGACCTACACACACACACACACACACACAGAGAGAGAGAGAGAGAGAGAGAGAGAGAGAGAGAGAGAGAGAGAGAGAGTCTGTTTGGATTTCTATAGCTATGAAGAGACACTTTTTTGTTTTGTTTTAGTTTGTTGAGACAGGGTTTCTCTATGTATTCCTGGATGTTATGGAACTCACTCTGCAGACCAGGCTGGCTTCGAACTCACAGAGATCTGCCTGCCTCTGCCTCCCAGTGCTGGGATTAAAGGCATGCACCACCAACGCCCGGCGCTTAGGAACTCTTATAAGGAAAACATTGCACTGGGGCTAGCATGCAGTATCAGAGGTTCAGTTCATTATCGTGTCGGGAAGCATGGCAATAGCCAGACATGATGTTGGAGGAACAGGGGAACATCCTATCAACAGGAAGTTGACTGAGAAATATTGGAGCAAAAGAGACCTCAAAGCCCATCCCCATAGTGACACACTTCCTCCAACAAGGCCACACCTCCTAATAGTGCCACTCCTTTGTGGGGGGCATTTTCTTTCCAACCACCACATGCATCAAAAAAGAGCTTTGGGTTTTTTTTTCCACAGAAAAGCGAGGGAACCTTAGTTGACCTGTAGAGACAAGAGGGTCACAGCAAATTTGAGGGCAACAGGATCTATATATTACGTTTCAAGGAAATAATATGAAATCCTGTCTCAAAACCCAAATGTAAGGGGGAAAGGGTCAGTGGATGTGCCTCAGTTGGTGGAGGGCTGGCCTAGCATGCAGGAAGTCCTGGGTTCGGTGTCAATGTCATGTCACACTGACTGGGTATGGTGGCACATGCCTATAACCCCAACACTTGGGAAACAGAAAGAGGAGAGTTTCAAGTTCAATGCCATTCATAGCCACTAGCCTGTGCTCCTTGAGACCCTGCCTCAAAATCAAAACCAAGTCAAAGCCCACAAGAGACTGGAGGTGTAGTTCAGTGACAGAGTGAGTGCCTAACTAAGGTCAGCAAGGCTCTAGGTTCAGGCTAAGAATGCAACTCCACGGTTCCATGCTTACCTGGCATGCAAGAAGCCCTTGGTCCAATCACCAGCACCAACACACAAGCACACACACACACACACACAGAGAGAGACAGACACACACACACACACACACACACACACACACACACACTTCAGTCCCGATCACTGAACAGGGAAAAGACCATGACTTAAACTCTTGCCATTCTAAAGATGAAGTAGATACACTAGACTTGCTTGCTTCTAGGACAGAACCCACACTCTACTCTCAGAGCTTCTAGGCTACCTGTGGATGGAAGTTGCTGTCCCATCTGGTCCCGCAGCTGTGCAGTCCAAATAAACACACAGAGGCTTATATTAATTATAAACTGCTTGTTCTATTGCCTCGGGCTTCTTATTGGCTAGCTCTCTCTTAATCATTGACCCATGTCTATTAATCTGGGTATCTCCACTTGGCGTGCTGATGATGCCCAGACCTCTGGCTTCCTCAGCAGCTACAAGGTGTCTCCCTGACACTGTCTATTACCTTTCTCTATCTGTGTTTGGACTTCCTGCCTGGCTACATGCTGCCTGTCCATTGCTGAAGTAGCTTTATTCATCAACCAATAAGAGAAACATTCACAGCACACAGAAGGACATCCCCCATCACCAACCTCCGTTCCTTGCAGGACTCCGATCCTTCAACTGAGTCCTGTTGACAGTACTGCTGTCCTTCTAATAAGACCTTCAAGCTCCCCCAGCCCCACCCAATCCCCACGATAAGGTCCTTAAACTGGCTGGGCACTGGTGGGCACTGGTGGCTTTGATCTCAGTACTCAGGAGGATTACAAGTTTCAGCCCAGGCTGGGCTACAAAGCAATAAGTACACTGCTAAGAAGGGGATGGGCAGTCGGATGTGGGAGGGGGTGTCTTCTGCCGCATGAAGTAACATGGAGTATGGGCTCAGGCAGTTGGGTGGTCTGTGGCGGTTTGGGGAGCTTTGGGAGGAACCACCGTGCTGGAGGAGAGCCTCACTGGAGGTGGGATTTGAGAGTTTCAGGTCTCACCATTTCCAGTTGCTTCCTCTGCTTTGCACTTGAGCTGTAGATGTGAACACTCAGCTTCCTGCTCCTGATGCCAGGCCTGCCTGCCACATGCTCCCGTTCGTCCCCACTGTGATGGGCTCAGCCCAGCTGGCAAACCCACCCACCGCTCCCACTTTATTAAGTACAGTGTTCTGCCTGCATGTGCGCCTGCAGACCAGAAGAGGGCACCAGACGTGACAGATGGGATCTGTGGGCCACCATGTGGGTGCTAGGAATTGAACTCAGGACCTCTGGAAGAGCAGCCCCTGCTCTTAACCTCTGAGCCATCTCTCCAGCCCCTGGCACCTTTTGTTTCTCAGGCTTTTCTCTCTGGCAGTCTTCACCGCTGCCCCCTCCCCCATTCGTATTCACCGGCCTGCAATCCTGCAGAGGCCTCTTTGCTGGTCTCATGCCCAGCCCTGTCCTCTGCAACGTGAAAATCAGATGCTGAGACTGCTCTCTCCCTCTGTGAGAAGAAGAAAACCCTACTGGACCTGCACCCACAGCTCCACTGCCCTCCTCTCTGCCAGCTGGTGGCTCCTCAGGGCTTCGGCCCTGGCTGTTATCTCTGCCTGAACACTGTTACTCCAAACCTTTAAGCTCCTCTTTCTTTTCCGGCATTCATTCCAATTAAATGCCCCTGCTGCAGAGGCCTTTCTGGTGGCTCCATGCCCCAGCACTCGGGAGGCAGAGGCCGGTGGATCTCTGTGAGTGCGAGCCCAGCCTGGACTTCAGAGCGAGTTCCAGGACAGGCTCCACAGCTACAAAGAATTTGGGGGGGGGGCAGTCTAGATGTCAATCCCAAACTAAAGGCAGTCTCTTACACTGGACTCTAACCTGGCTACCCAACTCACCCTTCCATTGCCTGATCCTGATAGCAAACAACAAACACACAAAATAAATGTAACACCGGCTGGGTTGAAGACTTCCTGGCAATTACGAGCACTGACTGCTCTTCCAGAAGACCTGCGTTGAATTCCCAGGACACACAGGGTAGCTGGCAACTCCAACTCCAGGGAACCAGTGTCCTTGTCTGCTCTTCAAGGTATTGGTGCAGACAACATTCGTGTAGGCAAACACACACATATTTAAATTTAAAATTTAAATTTAAAACTCTAATGCTAATGGGACCAGCCAGACAGTTCCGTGGGCGCTTGTGGTGCAAGCTAGGGGACCTAAACTCGCTTCCTGGGCCCTCGTTCTGCTCATGTCCCCAGGTGCACCATGACATGTGGGCGTGTAGACACGCAATGACAAAAGTTAAAATAAGAGAATGAAAAAATAAAAAGGAAAGGACATGGCGGCCCCTAGGTATGGCAAAGGAGAAAGTCTAGTGTACAGATGTGGAGAACATAGCCAGAGGCAGGGACAGGGCCAGACTGAGCTGGGCCACGTGGGGGGAGGAGGAGGGGAAGGGCGAGGAGACAGAGAACCAGTTGCTACAGCCAAGAGGGCAAAGGTACAAAAGGGACGGGCACAGCTGCTACCACAGTCAGGAGAAGAAGCTCCCCAAGAGAAAAGACCGCTCCTCCCTCTCTAGAGGGTGTGAAGAGTCCCTTTTAAAGAGAGGGAGCTGGGAACACACCAACAGGGTTCAAGCGCGTGTGCGCCTTTAAAAGGCGGGCTAAAAACAGAAGGGGCGTGGCCACGGAGTGGTTTATGCTCGGAAGCCCCGCCCCTCTGCTTACGTCACCGGCAACATGGCGGCGCCCAGGGCGGTAGGTGGCCGCGGCGCCTGGAGCCCCCACTGTAGTTCCCTGGGCGGCTCCGCCGTGGAGGCCTCGGTCAGCCTGCAGGGAGGCAAAGCTGCGGGGACGGCGGGACTCCCGCGGGCCTCGCGCTGGGGGCGCCGGTGGGGCTGTCAGGGGCCACTGAGGCCTCGGGCGCGCTGGGTTACGCTTGGGAGAGAAACCAATGGGTGAGGGCGGACGGGCTGATCGAGGACTAGGACGGCTCGTCCTGGGAGAGCGGGCAGAGTCTGACCTGCAAGGACGGACCGGACGAGGGCCTGGGATTGGGGGTGAAGACCAAAAAGTGAAGTTAACCTTTGTTGACACTCACTGTTCCATCCCCATCGCTGCCTCTGACAGCGAAGGTTACACGGACGGAAACGGAGGGGCGCCCAAGAAATTGGGTGTTCCGCAAGGCCCTGGGGAGAGCTGGGTAAAATAATGTGTGCCAGGGAAATGGTTTATTGTTAAAGCGAATGAGCACCAGAGGTGTTAAAGCCAGGCGTGGCTGCCCACTTGTGATCAGTCCCAGCACTCTGGAGGTAGAGACAGTTGATTCCTCGGACAAACTGGCCAGAGGAGCTGAGTTGAGGTGCGCCAGGTACAAGTGAGAGACCCCGCCTCGGTATATATAGTAGATGGCAATTA